ATTTTTTTTATCCTACCTAAAATACACTGACACTAACTGACACTGATACTAATTTAAAAAAAAAATCCTGCCCAAAATATACTGACCCTGACCTTTGACCCTGACCTTTCACCCTTACTTGACCCAAACACTAACCCTGGCACTGACCTAGATCAAACCTTGAGCTAGATATTTTTTCTTTTATTTTGTAATATATATTTATTTATTTTACACACTGTTGTTTTTTTTTATCTCTGAAAAGGAGAGAGAGATATATATAATGTATCTCTCTCCTTCATTCAGAGAGAGAGAAAACACAGGGGCGGGCTTCAAAGTGATTGATCACTGTGATAGCCAATCAGAGGCTATAAACAGCAATCAGGTGACCCAGTGAATGCTCAGTAGTGGAGCGCTACCAGCACAAAGGGAGATATGCAAATATGCAGCCCCATAGCTAAAAGCCCAGTGCAGGGGGGCCACATATTTGTGAGGTCAGTGTCAAGGGATTAATAACACAATAAAATTGTACCCACATCCAATTTGGTCAATTTCATTTGAGATCTCTCCAACACAACATCTTGTTTGCATAGAACAAGCAGGCCTCTTCTCTAGACCTACCAATGCTCTTGTCTAGCCATGCAAGGAATTCCCTATCTTGATGGATCCCCAGCCCAGCTTTCATAATGAGAAAGTCATTCCTTCCATATCACTGTAAAAGTGATAACCACAGATACCAGCCTTTCAGGCTGGAAAGTAGTGGTCAAATCCCACACAGTACAGGGAACATGGTCGGTGGCAACCAAGCTCCCCATCAATATCCTGGAGCTCAGAGTGATAAGGAAGGCTCTGCACCACTGGATCCCCCTTCTGAAAGGACATTCAATGAGGGTGCAAACAGACAATGCCACAGTTGTGGCCTACATCAATCACCAATGTGGCAGTAAAAGTTATGCAGCATTGAAGGAAGCAAGCCAGATCATCTCATGAACTTACTGTTCTGCGATCTCTGCTGTCCACATCACAGGAGCAGTCAACTGGAAGATGGATTACCTCAGCCATCACTGCCTGGACCACGGGGAATGGGCCTTTCATTCTGACATATTCAACCTAATATGTCATAGAGAGGGGACCCCACATATGGACATCTTGGCCTCCAAATTCAACAACATATTACCTCTATTTGTGGCCAAGACCAAGGATCCTCTATCACTGGCATAAGATGCTTTCATAATTCCCCAGTCTGAGTTCAAACTAATCAATGCCTTCCTTCCAGTGCAAATTCTGCCCTTCCTGCTACACAAAATAGAGCAAGAAAAGAAACTGTTAATTCTCATTGCACAAAACTGCCCCAAAAGAACCTGGTATACAGACAGACTACTAGAGACCTGCTGTGTCAGGGCCCTCTATTCCATCCTGCTTTTCAATCACTGGCTTTAATGGCATGGTTTGTGAAGTGCTTAATGGACAGAGGAGTCTGTAATTCCTACTTTGCTAAAAGCAAAAAAAAAAAAAAGCCACTTCAGAAAGATCTAAAATCATGCCTGCTGTGAACACAGGCACTTCAAACCCAAAGATTACTCTCACATTCTTCCTGAAATCAGAACTTGGCCTTAAGATGCCAGAAAGGACATGCTTTGGCTTTGTCCATTTTTTCACAAACCTCTGGCATCATTCTCCCTTTCCAAAATCTTTACAGTCTATCTGTGATTAGCCCCCCCCCCCCCCCCCTTCACAGCACCCTGTGCTTCCTTGGGTCCTCAATCTCATTCTCTCTGTCCTCTCGGTCCTGCAGAAACCACCCTTTGAACCCATCAGGGAATTGCCCTGAGATGACCTCTCCTGAAAAGTGGATTTCTTGGTTGCTGTCATGTCTGTCAGACGTGTCTCTGAGCTATTGACTCTGTCTTGTAAGTAGCCATTCCTTATTTTTCACAAAGACAAGGTAATCTTACAACCAAGACCATCTTTTCATCCTGGAGTGCTGGGCTTTGGAGGGGGAAGGAATGGCTGCCTCAGGCTCAGAGGCTGAGGCAGGTGCCACTCCAGACTCTGAGGTTGATCCCGACTTTCCTCAGTCTGGACAGGCTGAGTGACAGCCTGCTGTTGGCTGAAAATGGGTCACAGGCGTGCAGAACGAACTGCACTCCTGTGATCCACAAGAAAAGTACAGCCAAAAGAGTTTTGGCTGTACTTCTCCTTTAATACCGGGTCTATGAATGGACTGTACTGTACTCCAAGATACAGAATTTACAGGTAAGTCAAAATTCCTTTTTTTTCAAGAACATAAACATTTTAAAAATGTGTCTAGTCTATGGAAATAGTTCTACTTTGAGGATGAGTAGACTGTACTACCCGTATGCATCTCAAAGTTTAATTTTTAATTTTACCTACAGTATACTTCTAACAACCCAGTGGGGAAGTAAACTCTGCCCTTTTCATCTGAAATGTAATAATCCATTTAGAGTAGACTGCAGCTTTAATACACTAGAACTGCCAGTGCTACAATATCCTAGCATCCCAAAGAGATTTTTGGTCAAAAAGTGATAATTTAACCTCAATGAAAAAAAAAACAATGTGTAGTAAAAGCAGCAGGTGTAATCAGACAATGGAACCAACTGCTCATTTTTAATAAATGTTTGGCATGCTTACTTTGATTATATACACATGATTACACTCTTAAAACTGATTTATTGAAACACATTTTACATTTACCTGGTGACATATGTTTTTGTTTATCTAATGTAATGATCTGTGAGTGTGTCCCAGACACTCTCAAAACTATAATTCACAATAATTAAAATAAAAAGAAAAATGTATTTTCTGGTTTCAAAGCATTTTAAAATGAAGGATATCCTAGTATTCCTATTTTAATAAGTTTCATTGTTTGGTGGCAGAGTGGGACTGTGCAGTTCACACATTTGTTATAGCGATCCTTCTCATGTACAGATTATTCCCACTCTCTAATTAAATAGTCACAGTTGATAAATTTGAATGTATGATTGTGCTGTAGTTTTCCACTTTGATTAATTGGCCCCATGCTGCTTAAACTTTATAAAGCTCCTGATTTACATATTATTCTGTTTATTTCTTCTGGGAGGAATTTTTGTACACATCAAAAGTATTTGAATGACTTTCTAGTTGGTATTGTATCCAATGCTCCTTCAGATGTTTCTTCCTTTGGAATAGTAGTCCAGAAGAGTGCAGGGTAAAAGGGAACTCCAGGCTACGTAAGAATATTATAGCAACAGCCCAAATACAAATTTAGTGATCTACACAAATAAACTGCTTCCCTGCCACCCTATAGTAGAACTACTGCTACAGGGTGGCAGGGCTGCGCAAAATAATGTATATACAGGTGAAACTCAAAAAATTAGAATATTGTGCAAAAGTTCATTTATTTCAGTAATGCAACTTAAAAGGTGAAACTAATATATGAGATAGATTCATTACATGCAAAGCAAGATAGTTCAAGCCGTGATTTGTCATAAGTGTGATGATTATGGCTTACAGCTCATGAAAACCCCAAATCCACAATCTCAGAAAATTAGAATATTACATGCAATCAATAAAACAAAGATTGTACATAGAACAATATCAGACCTCTGAAAAGTATAAGCATGCATATGTACTCAGTACTTGGTTTGGGCCCTTTTTGCATCAATTACTGCCTCAATGCGGTGTGGCATTGAAGCTATCAGCCTGTGGCACTGCTGAGATGTTATGGAAGACCAGGATGCTTCAATAGCAGCCTTCAGCTCTTCTGCATTGTTCGGTCTCATGTCTCTCATCTTTCTCTTGGCAATGCCCCATAGATTCTCTAAGGGGTTCAGGTCAGGCAATCAAGCACAGTAATCCCACGTTCATTGAACCAGGTTTTGGTGCTTTTGGCAGTGTGGGCAGGTGCCAAGTCCTGCTGGAAAATGAAGTCAGCATCCCCATAAAGCTAGTCTGCAGAAGGAAGCATGAAGTGCTCCAAAATCTCCTGGTAGATGGCTTTGTTGACCCTGGACTTAATGAAGCACAGTGGACCAACACCAGCAGATGACATGGCTCCCCAAATCAACACAGACTGTGGAAACTTCACATTGGACTTCAAGCATCTTGCAGTGTGTGCCTCTCCATTCTTCCTCCATACTCTGGGTCCTTGGTTTCCAAATGAGATGCAAAAGTTGCTCTCATCAGAAAAGAGGACTTTGGACCACTGAGCAACAGACCAGGTCTGTTTTTCTTTAGCCCAGGTAAGACGCTGTTGTTTGTTGTTCAGGAGCGGCTTGACAAGAGGAATACGACATTTGAAGCCCATGTCCAGGATCTGTCTGTGTGTGGTGGTTCTTGATGCACTGACTCCAGCCTCAGTCCACTCCTTGTGAAAGTCCCCAACACTTTTGAATGGCCTTTTCCTGACAATCCTCTCCAGGCTGCGGCCATCCCTGCTGCTTGTGCACCTTTTTCTTCCACACTTTTCCCTTCCACATAACTTTCTATTAATGTGCTTTGATACAGCACTTTGGGAATATCCAACTTCTTTTGCAATTACCTTTTGAGGCTTTCCCTCCTTATGGAGGGTGTCAATGATGGTTTTCTGCACAACTATCAGGTCAGCAGTCTTTCCCATGATTGTGATTCCTACTGAACCAGACTGAGACACCATTTAAAGGCTCAGGAACCCTTTGCAGGTGGTATGGCTTAATTAGCTGATTAGAGTGGGACACTTTGAGCCTAGAATATTGCACCTTTTCACAATATTCTAATTTTCTGAGATTTAGGATTTGGGGTTTTCATGAGCTGTAAGCCATAATCATCACAATTATGACAAATCACAGCTTGAACTATCTTGCTTTGCATGTAATGAGTCTATCTCATATATTAGTTTCACCTTTTAAGTTGCATTACTGAAATAAATAAACTTTTGCACGGTATTCTAATTTTTTCGAGTTTCACCTGTATACGTGATTTGCATTTTCAGGTAGGGGGCGCACATTGCCCTGCCTGTGCCACCATTGGCAGCTACAAATGTCAATCACCGGATCCCGGCCAGAGATTACCCACCAGCACCCAGCGATCGCTGAGTAACACTGACAGGGGAGAGACCTGTGTGTAAACCACACAGGTATCTCTCCTGCCAGCAAGAACATGCTGCTGTGTGAGAAATACACAGTACCATGTTTCCCTAGTAAAATACACACAGCACATTATGTAAAACAGGATACAGTTAACACTTTGGTCACCCCAGATGTTAACCTCTTCCAGCCCAGTGTCGTTAGTACAGTGTCAGTGCTTTTTATTAGCACTGATTACTGTATTAGTGTTCTTGGGATGTCAGTGGCAGTTAGTCAGTTCCCACCCAGTTTCAGAATGCCCGCTGCAGTCCCGCAGTCCCCCTATAAGTCACTGATCACCGCCATTACTAGTATAAAAAAAAAATATAAAAATTCCAGTATATATACCGCCATTTGTAAATGCTATAACTTTCACATAAACCAATTAATTTACATGTACTGGGATTATTTTTAGAAAAGACTTAGCAGAATACAATTTGGCCTAAATTTATGATGAAATTTGATTTTTTAAATTTTTTTACTGGATATGTTTTATAGCAAAAAGTCCAAAATATTGTTTTTTTTTTTTTTTTTTTCAAAATTGTCAGTCTTATTTTGTTTATAGCGCAAATAAAAAACACACAGGTGATCGAATACCACCAAAAGAAAGCTCTATTTGTGGGAAAAAAGTACATAAATGTAATTGATGTACAGCGTTGCATGACTGAGCAATTGTCAGTTAAAGTAACGCAGTGCCGTATCACAAGAAATGGCCTGGTCAGGAAGGGGGGTAAATCCTCTGAAAGGCAAGTGGTTAATGTGCATTTAAAGCACCTCTGAATTAAAAAAATATATTGCAGCTTCCCTGTCCTTAAATGTAGTGCATTCATTTTCAATTTTTTTCAGACTAAGAACATTTTCAGCAAGTACAGAACATACTTGTTAATCTTGCCTGAAATGCAATGTCTTTGTCACTCCTTTTGAGATGAACTGGAAGCCAAAACAATGTTAACTGCATATACCCCCACCCCCCAAGTCATGGAGATAAAGAAGGGGAAGACATGTTTAAAGTTCTGCCTGGGTGGCAAGTAAGGCTGCTTCCATTATGGAGAAATTAGCATAGCCAACCAGTGACGGGAAGTATGTCAATTTTAGGATTATCAGGTAAAAATAAAGGGAAAAAGCCTGAAAAAAAAAAGAAAAATTGCTGCAGCTACCACATCTAAGGACTGGTAAGCTGCAATACATTATATGTTTGTTTTTGGGTTTAGATAAGTTTTAATATCTCCATAAGATAATATGCAGACTAGAGAAAAGCTTGTTTTAAAAATATAATTTCCTTCAGAAATATTGGCAATAAACTCTTACTGAGATTGTGACCTCTGTTTTTGAGTAACGTATCAAACATCATTATGCTGTCTATACACAGTGCAGTAAGGACTCGCTACTAGGAATGAGTGGAAGATTTCACCAAAATTTGATTTTGTACATTTGCAATTCTTCTCTAAAAATTGGCAAAAGTAGCATCATATTTTGCAATATGGATGAATTACGCATGAATGAAAAAGGCAAACCTAATCCTAACAATTTTTTATGGCATCTACATGGCTTTTTTTATTATGAGTTGGTGAATGGATTTGTTTATATCAGATGAGTGCAGGTGGTGAATGGATTTGTTTATTAACTAAGCCATTTGTTACCATGTCAGCAATAACATATTTACTAACCAAGTCATAGCAGTGACTGTTACTAATGTATTTCTTTCTAGTTGCACTATACATGCACCTGGAAATACAGTAAATACTTTACTTAAACGTTGTTAAAGATAACATTTGTACAAAAAAATATTGAAACCATTTATAAAACATTCAAATAATTTAAAGGAACTTCCATAACCCTCAGGAGCCATTGAAAGCTCATTATATCCATAAAACAACCCAAAACTTTAACTTTAAACTTTAACTTAAACTTTAAGAAAAAAAAAAGCATTTGTGATATGACCTTGAAGAATGTAGTCACTCTTGTGGGAAGTTATTAAATCTATAAAGCAAATAATGTTCTATAAGTTATCAAACTGACATCTGACTGGTTTCTATGGGTAACTGCAAATTACATACTGTATATTGACTGACCTTTTTTATAGCTTCAGGAACTTGTACAAAATAATTGATCTTACCTTGGGTGAATCCTTTTAAGTAGCTAGAACAACTTGTATTATAAGACCTATCTGTCTCATCTTCAAGTTCAGAAAACACATCTGAGGAAAGAGAAAAAATATGAGCCATGGTATAAATGCCAGTCAAAGAAGCTGCATTACTACACTGAACCCTACATGCAATTTCTACATTCTTGACAGGAAGATGGTGATCTTGACAAAACCAATGCCTAATTAGCCTCACTCTTACCTGTGTAAAAACCTTCTGATTTAATTTACTGAATGTATTGAGATAAAAAAAATTGCCTTTATTACTTCCATTACTCCTTTATTCTTTTCTATGATTAACCAAAGCCTTCCTTGCATCCATACTGAATTAATCTAGCCATAATGCTCAGGGTCAGCCAATATGTATTTTGTGGCTTACATTTCTGCCTGAAGTAATCGATATATGAAGACCAGCCCATTTAGGACAAGCACTACATAGTTTTGCTAGTAAAATAGCATTTATATACATTTAACAAAGCTTATTATTATATCTGCATCCTTATATTCCTCTAAAGACATTTAGCCCTTCTGTATCTGCTAGTCACAGGACCAATCTCCAGAAGTAACAATTGATCTTGGAAGCTTTTATAAAGCTAAATCTTTGCTATCCTAGACAGCAAATAGAGTTCGTTCTTGGAATGTTTCTAGCTCAAATTAACAAAAAGTATGTAAAAGTTTCATTTCTTGCAAACTTTAAGGCTTAAAATGCCTCTTCATTGGTAAGCGGCCAGAAAGACCCCTTTGAATCTGTGAGTCATCTATGATTTTCTTATTTTTTTAAGGCCATAATGATTACTGTTGTTACCGTGAATTTTAAAACATATTTCACTCAGTTAATTCTGCGGCTAACAAGGACCCACTTTCTTTTGATTAACGCTGTTATAAGCTTTACATAGTCTGTTATATCCATGCTTGCCCAAACTCCTGATAGTTACTTTACTACATTAATTTACAATGGTAAACATGCCATATTCTAATGGTTCAGCCCAGTTCTCAAATTATCAGTAGACCTTGATCTCAAGATACACTCACCTTGGAGTTTGTATTAGAACAATCATGGGTGTATTTCTGCACAGCCAACCTGGCTTACAGCGGCATATTGCTGACTGTCAGTAGTTTCAATATATAATAACATTTTACAGACAGCTACCCTACCAGCCAGTGCAGTCCAGCTGAGTCCTCATTGTTGCTGTTCCGCATAGTTTGTGCATTTTTGTGTGCTAATATTTCATCCACTGAACTGCTAGTAGATAGGGTGACAGTTTTCCTAGCTCTTCTTGATGTTGGTAATAGGTGTACAGTACAGAGAGTGAGCAAACAGAGTCAAGGGCAAAGACTTTTCTCCATCTGTTACCTTGAAAAAGAGGGCAGAACACCATGCATTCAAAACATTGGTTTTTAACGTTTTTCCGATATAGGACTTCTGCAAATCCTGCCTCAGAATCTATCAATTGGTGTTCTGGTTTTCTCTTCATTTGCTACATTTGCACGTAGACTGTCCTAGATAACACCCACATGTGAATTTAAGCCTCCTGTTCTTGGAGGGACACAGGATTTAGAGGCAAAAGACTACACCCTGTTCCAAATTATTATGCAAATGATATTTTTCTCATTTACCTAAATAATTGATGTAAATAACAGTCAGCATAATTCTCATGTTATCAACTATTAAGAGTACAATTCAAATTTTACTGAGCAAACCTCCTAATGATAACAGTATGTTTTTTAAACATAAGACACTTACAATGCACTGTTCCAAATTATTACGCACAGTAAGTTTCAAAACACTTTATAGGTTGTAAAGAGCTGAAAATTGTCATTTCTTGTGTTTGCAGCATATTTACTGAAATCAAAAGCTATTTCAATCAAACTTTTAACAACATTTTAACCTTTTAAACATTTTAACAGGTCACGTTACATTTTAACATAGGACCCCTTATTTGATAGCAGCTTCACAAGTCTTGCATCCATTGAACTTGTGAGTTTTTGGACAGTTTCTGCTTGAATTTGTTTGCAAGATGTCAGAATAGCCTCCCAGAGCTGCTGTTTGGATGTAAACTGCCTCCCACCCTCATAGATCTTTTGCTTGAGGATGCTCCAAAGGTTCTCAATAGGATTGAGGTCAGGGGAGGATGGAGGCCACACCATGACGTTCTATTCTTTTATCCCCATAGCAGTCATTGATGCAGAGGTATTATTTGCAGCATGAGATGGTGCATTGTCATGCATGAAGATGATTTTATTACAGAAAGCATAGCTCTTCCTTCTGTACCAGGGAAGAAAATGGTCAGTCATAAACTCCACATACTTTGCAGAGGTCATCTTTACACCTTTGGGACCCTAAAGGGGCCGACCAGCTCTGTTCCCATGATTCCGGCCCAAAACATGACTGCACCATCGCCTTGCTGACGTCACAGCCTTGTTGGAACAGGGTGGCCGTTCACCAACCATCCACTACTCCATCCATCTAGACCATCCAGGGTTGCACGCCACTCATCAATGAACAGGACTGTTTGAAAATTAGTCTTCATATATTTTTCTGCCCAATGCAGCCGTTTCTGCTTGTGAGCATTGGTTAGTGGTGGCCGAATAGAAGGTTTATGCACAGTTGCAAGACTGGACGACTCTACACCTTGATGTCCATAGGACTCTAGAGGCACCAGCAGCTTCAAATATCTGTTTGCTGCTATGTAATGGTATTTTAGCAGCTGCTCTCTTGATCTGATGCATGGATCTGGCAGAAATCTTCCTCAATGTGCCTTTATCTGCACGAACCCGTCTGTGCTCTGAATCAGCCACAAATCTCTTAATAGTGCGATGATCACGCTTAAGTTTTCGTGAAATATCTAATGTTTTCATACCTCGTCCAAGGCATTGAACTATTTCACTCTTTTTGGCAGCAGAGAGATCCTTTTTCTTCCCCATATTGCTTGAAAATGGTGCTCTGCTTAATAATGTGGAACACCCTCCTTTAGTAGTTTTTCTTTAAATTGGGCTCACTTGCCAATCTAATTATCACAGGTGTCCAAGATTGTTTTCAGTGATCAAAAGAGCCCTGAGACACAATGCCATCCATGAGTTAAACTGAAAAACAAAATATTTCATTCTTTGTGACACTTAAATATAATTTG